GCCAGCAAGCTGTCGCTGCACGGCGGTCTGCTTGGCCAGCTCCTCGCGCAGCCAACCAGCTCCCCGTGCGGTAAAGCCTTCTCGCATAGAGTCCAGCAGCTGCTGCGACTCGGTGGCCACAGGATTCTGAGCCACAACTACACAAAAGATGCGAGTTACAACTACGCAAAAGATGCCCCAACACTGGCCTATCATAGCCAATGTGATCGAATGGTTTTATGACCTAAGACTCACCTATGCTGTGGAAACCACATGGACATCGGCTTCAACGGGACAACACAACAGGAGGTCTGAGCAGCAACAGCAGCCCAACTGAGCAACGCGGCGTCGTTCCCTCATCGCGCCTGCTCCTCGGAAACGTGCCGCGACAAAGCCTCCAGCAGCTCCGCTTTGGACATGTTGCGTCCTGCTTCACGTTGCTGCACGCCAGCAAGCTGTCGCAGCTGCACGGCGGTCTGCTTGGCCAGCCAGCCAGCACCCTGCGCGGTATAGCCTGCTCGCAGAGTATCCAGTAGCTGCTGCGACTCGGTGGCCGCAGGATCCTGAGCCACAACTACACAAAAGATGCCCCAAGAGTGGCTAATCATTGCCAATCTAATCGAATTGTTTTATTCCCCAAGACTGACTTATGCTGTGGAAACCACATGGACATCTGCTTCAACCGGACAACGTGACAGGAGGTTTGCGTAGCAAAAGCCCAAACTGCGCAACGCTGCGTCGCCCCCTCATCGCGGCTGCTCCTCGGAAAGGTGCTGCGACAAAGCCTCCAGCAGCTCCGCTTTGGACATCTTGCGCCCAGCAGCCGTGTGCTGCATGCCCGCGGCGCCAGCAAGCTGTCGCAGCTGCACGGAGGTCTGCTTGGCCAGCTGCTCGCGCAGCCAGCCAGCTCCCCGCGCGGTCTAGCCTGCTCGCAGAGTATCCAGTAGCTGCTGCGACTCGGTGGCCACAGGATCCTACACAAAAGATGCCCCAAGAGTGGCTAATCATTGCCAATCTAATCGAATTGTTTTATGCCCCAAGACTGACCTTTGCTGTCGAAACCGCATGGACATCTGCTTCAACGGGACAACGTGACAGGAGGTTTGCGTAGCAAAAGCCCAAACTGCGCAACGCTGCGTCGCCCCAGCGGACGGCGTGGAACTTGTTCTCGCGCACTGCCTCGGGGTCGACGGGCTCAACAAGTTCCAGCGGTTGAGAGCACGAGCTGCTCGGGCCCGAGCTGACCCGCCGCCGAGGACCCAGCCCCGCGGGCTGGCAGCCCGCTCTGGCCGACGTGGGGGTGGACTTCTCCGGCCTGCCGACGGACTGCCCCGTGGGCTTCGACAACATCGAGAGCTCCGCAACGCCGGGCGGGTGGAGGTCTTCGTCTTCGTGTGGCAGCGAACCCTGTGGGTGGACGGGCTGGAGTACTACCACATGCTCCAGCAGCGCGCCCCGAGCGGCGCGGGAGTCGTCGAGCAGACCGTGCTGCTTCTCCTGCACAGCGGCCACTTCTCTTTGATCCACAACTTCCAGGCGCTGGCCGGCAGGGAGCCACGCCCAGCAACCACAGCGGCTGCAGGGAGTTGGCCCGCTTCACGCGTGGCAGCGCCACCGCGCCACCCAGTGCTATCTACTCATCGCGCCTGCTCCTCGGAAAGGTGCTGCCTCCAGCAGCTCGCTTTGGACATCTTGCGCCCAGCAGCCGTGTGCTGCATGCCCGCGCCGCCCACAATAGTCTTTTTTAGCCGCCGGCCGCCGGCCACCGGCCACCGGCCACCGGCCACCGGCCCCCGGCCACCGGCCACCGGCCACCGGCCACCGGCCACCGGCCACCGGCCCCCGCCCACCGGCCACCGGCCACCGGCCCCCGGCTCCCGGCCTCCGGCCACCCGCCACCGGCCACCAGCCACCGGCCCCCGGCCACCGGCCACCGGCCACCGGCCCCCGCCCACCGGCCACCGGCCACCGGCCCCCTGGCTCCCAGGCCTCCGGGCCACCCGCCACCGGCCCGGCAAGGCGAGCTGGTGGCACCGGCCACCGGCCCCGGCGCCGGCCACCTTCCCTCTTTCAGGCCATTTCTTTTTTTTTTTTTTTTTTTTTTTTTTTTTTTTTTATTTTTATTTTTTTTTTTTTTTTTTTTTTTTTTTTTTGCAAAGGCAGAGCTCTTTGGTCACAGCAACGCAAGCCGAGGAGCCTGCTCACTGCCAAGTCTCGTTCCCTACAAGTTTTTGTTCTTCTGGAGTTGCATTTTCTAATAATATATTAAGGGCCAGCTTACTAGCACAAATCTTGCGCTGCCTCAGCTGAAGGCAGGCTTGCTGGCTTGCCGTCCACCCAGGAAGCTTTGCCATCCTTCCCATGCCAGGCTATTTGCACGGTGAGCTTGTGATGGGTGTCAGCAAGCGTTTTTGTGCACGTGCTGAGCTTGTTGTGCGTGTCAGCTAGCCTTTGTCTAGCCAACTCCCGCGCCCGAGAACATTGCACGCACCAGCATGAGCAGTTTTTTCGAGCAGGGTGTGCCCCACAACGCAGTGACACAGTTCAGCTTTGTTCTTCTCCAGGCCCGATCTGCGCACATGGGCGATGCCTGGGCCTTGACTTTGACCCCGGGGAGAACAGTGTGTCCACATTGTCGCTCTCCCTTGCTCCAGGCGAAGGCTGGCGCACGAGGCTCTGTTCAAGCCCATGTCATCGCCGAGCCTGACAGCTTTGTGACCTGGCACCTGTCCCGAGCTTGTCCTCGTGCTTGCCGAACGGGCTACCATACTGGTGTGGCTTCGTCACCTTCTTCCAGCCGCACCCCCCGCAGATCAGATTGGCAAACGGGTCGGTAAGCAAAGCAGGTGGATTGCCCCAACGCCAAATACTTTTTTCTGTCAGCTCCCAACGGGATAGCTCGCAGTTGGCTCCGCAGATGGCGCTACCGCCTCTACTTGCAGAGGGCGAGTTTTCAAGCAGAGGCCACCTTGCTGCGACTGCTGCAAGCTCATGTTCGGCTTCGTCTTCGGGAGCAGCTTCGCCAACTTTGGGCCCGTGAAATCTTGTGTCGCCGTGCCGTTGAGGCCGGGGTGAACGAGTCCACAAGCAGGCTTTGAATGGTCCTTTGGAGGCGCTCATAGCTGGAGCTTGGAAATGGTGTGAGCCTCTGATGTTCTCAAGGCGCGGACAGGGTTTCCTCTCAAGCTACCGCTTTCAGCCCTGCAGATTACAGACAAGTCTGTGTCTGAAACTTTCGTGTCGGAACCCCTTTTGTATAGCGGTCGGACATGTGCCACGGGGGCAACTGCTGTTGTTGTTTGCGGGCTACGCTTGTACATTTTGCAGGAACCTAGGTCTCGACCAGGCCCATTTTTGGCAACTTGCAATGGGGACTTGCTTTGCAGCTGACGCAACTCGCCAGCCTTCTGTTGCACACATGTGCCGTGTTTCTTGTGCGCTTTCTATGTAACGAGTAATGGGCGAACACAGGGGCACTTGCTGTGAAAGCCAGAGCCTGCAACCGCCTTGCCTGGCAGGCGACTTGCTCAGCTGGATTCTTCTGGAGATCGGGCAGACATCTTGGCCATCGATGGCAACGCCAAGTTGCACAGGCGAACCTGCGGCATGCCGTTCGCCGAAGTTGTGCCAAGCCCACATCTGCGTAAGCTGCTGCTGCGTGGGTGCAGCTCCCGCCCACATGGCAAGGACACTCTCTGCAAGCAACATGCAGCTGCGCGGGACAAGCAACTTCCCCCGCTTGACCCATCCTCGCAAGTTTCTCATCATCGCCTTCGAGGATAGCGACGTCTGTCACTTTGAAGTGCAAATCTTTGCCCGCCAAGCTGATGCCAACATACGCAGGCGCCGTGAGAGAAGGGTGCAGGCCCGCAAGCAGAAGTGGACCGGCATGCGGCCGCGCCCTCGGCGCTCATTTCTGGCTTCTTGGCATTCTGCTGGGCCAAAGCAACAGCTCCTCGGCAACAGTTTCTTTTTGGCAAAGAATGGCTGTGTCTTGCGCCCAAAGCTAAGAGCTAACGCCTCCAAAGCATTTTTGCAGCCCCTTAGCCGCTCACGCGAAACGCAGGAGCTCTTGCAACACGCACAAGGAGTCGCCAAAGGAGGCCCACGCAGCTGCTCGGAGTGCTGGCTACCTTCTTGCTGTTTCGGAGTCTGGCCTAATATCTGACATGCTCGAGATCATTGGTGCAGAGAGTTTGTCGCAGGGGTACCACTTTGCAGCGCAGGTGGCTCACCGACTCCCACGCTTGCAGACCATGGTTCACGATGAAGCCGTCACCTCAAGAGCATGTGCCTCAAGGAGCGGCGGACGTCGGTCATGGCGGGCAAGCTGGCTGACCTGAATTTCATCATCGACGACTTCCACAGCGGGGGCCACTGTGGGGAGTGGTGCAAGACAACTTGCCTGCCCAGCTTGCAGCAGAACAAGGATATCCTGAAAGGCTTCCCAACTGAGATTGCTGAGTCCGTAAACGCCCAATTCAGTCCTTTAGGCGACTGCTTTCACCACTACAGTCCATGGTTTGCTCAGCTTGTCACGCAAGAGTGCGCTGATGTGCGCAACATGACTCGGCTACAGGCGCTAGGCGACAAGCGCCGTGTGGCCGACAAGAAGCGCAAGAGGCAAGCGCTGGCGACAGGCAGGCGGATTCCTGAGCTCAACGCCGTCGCTTGCAAGACGCAAGCTGCTTCCCATGTCAAAAAGGCTGCTGTGGCCAGCTCGTTGGTCGCGCGTGTGCTTCAGTGAAGTTGAGTGTCTAGGTTCTTGGCCTCTGTCCGACAGCACAAAGCGGCGAGAATTGGCCAGCTTGTTGGCCCTTGTCCTTGGCGCGTCTCTCTTGCTTTGCTATTGCTTGCAGAGTGCGCTGCAAACCCTGTTCTCCTCAAGCGGTTGCCCGGCTTGAGGCCGGCCGGGCATTTGTGCGAACATGCCAACACACAGCAGCAAGCAGCTTTCCCACAGCGCGGTCCAGTTGTATAGGACGCCACGCAAGTCTGCAAATTAGGCACCAGTGCCTGCCATGCCGCCTCACAGCAACGATGCGCTTGCAGAGAAGAACATCGACCGTCTCTTCCGCGCGGCTCTGGATGTCGTGCAGGATAACTTTCACGCTGCGGACCACCTGCCCAAAGCTTTGTATGACTTCCTCCTGCCGATTGCCACTTCTACGTGCCAAGGGCTGTACGCCACCGCAATGCTCTTTCTCGGGTCCATGCCTGCCTTGAGCAACGGGGCCAGCGTCAAGTTGTGGCAGAAACCATCCCCTTTGGCTTTGATGGTTCTTCACATGGCTCCCGCGCAAAGGGGGAAGTCCCGTCTCTTCCAGGCTGTCGAACTGATGTTTGAGACTGCGGACGACTTCGTTGAGGTCATGGCCAAGGAAGAAGCAGCCAAGGTCGCTCAGCGAGTGAGAGCAGAAGGCGTGGGCGAGCAACCTTTGCCAGATGTGTCTGTGCAAACCAAGAGCATGTGTCTTCAAAGCTTCACCATGACAGAGCTCTTCTACAGGTGCAGCGCCGACTTTCCCCAGGTCGAGATTCACGGTGGATGCAACAAGAAGGAGAAGGCGGCTCTACGTCTTTGGTTTGGCCAGGCTTTCAACTTGGACGAGGCCTATGAGTTCTTGGAGAGCTTGTCATTGTTGGGTTCCAGAGGTGACAAGGCCAAGGACTCATCCGTGAACGCCCATGCCAGCACCCTCAACACGCTGCTTGCTCGGGGCAAAACCAAGAGAGCCACGAGAACGTCTACTTCATACGAGGCCTCCAGGACACCGCACGGTAAGCCTTCTTCCTTGGGAAAACGGGCACCCTGGCAAGCTCATTACGATGGATGCGGGAACTTGAGAAGGCCCAACACACTGCAGCCACGAAGAGGGCTGCTCCTTCCTTTCTCTTGGTTGTGGATGTGAGCGGTCCCCAGGCACGAGAGCTTTTGTTCGCTGACATGCTCGCCGCAGAGGACCTCCTTGCGGCCGGATGTGGACGGTGGCTGCCGCTCACCGCCGCTCCAAGCTTGCTAATCTTCGGCTTCTTGGACCGGCAAACCTCAACAAACCCAGAAAACATTTCGAGGGCCAGAGCCAGAGATGATGAAGAAGGCGATGAAGGCTTCCCTGCAGTTTTGCCCGATGGTGTTCGCTCTCGCATCCGGTACGTGTACGACTCTGCTCCCGCTCCTGCAGGCCCTTCAGTTGCAGCCAAGCAGCCCGAAATAGTTCACACTTCATCTTGACAGGCAGTTGGGTCGCAAGCCAAAACCCATTCAAAGTCAGTTTTGTCACGTTCACGTTCTTCTTCAGTAGCCTGGTGGGGCCAGCGTGTTGGCCAGGGCCTTCCCTACTTCTTTTGCTTTGAAGCACTCGAGCAGGTTCCCCTCCGATAAATGATGCGCTAGTCTTGTGTCGTTGTGACGGTTTCCACACACTCTCAGCCACATGTTCAACTCCCGCCCCACTGTGACCTCTCAGGTCTGCGCAAGGCTGTTCGCCACCGGCCACCGGCCGGTCCCCGCCCACCGGCCACCGGCCCCCCGGCTCCCGGCCTCCGGCCACCCGCCACCGGCCACCAGCCACCGGCCCCCGGCCACCGGCCACCGGCCACCGGCCCCCGCCCACCGGCCACCGGCCACCGGCCCCCGGGGGCTCCGGCTCCCGCACCACCCCGCCACCGGCCACCGGCCACCGGCCACCGGCCACCACCATTCCTGCCACCGGCCACCGGCCACCGGCCACCGGCCACCGGCCACCGGCCACCGGCCACCGGCCACCTCCCCTCTTCAGCAAGCCATCTTGCAAAGGCCAGCTCTTTGGTCACGCAACGCAAGCCGAGAGCCTGCTCACTGCCAGCTCGTTCCCTTCAAGTTCTGACTTGCATTTCTATAAGGGCCAGCTTACTAGCACAAATCTTGCGCTGCCTCAGCTGAAGGCAGGCTTGCTGGCTTGCCGCCCACCCAGGAAGCTTTGCCATCCTTCCCATGCCAGGCTATTTGCACGGTGAGCTTGTGATGGGTGTCAGCAAGCGTTTTTGTGCACGTGCTGAGCTTGTTGTGCGTGTCAGCTAGCCTTTGTCTAGCCAACTCCCGCGCCCGAGAACATTGCACGTACCAGCATGAGCAGTTTTTTCGAGCAGGGTGTGCCCCACAACGCAGTGACACAGTTCAGCTTTGTTCTTCTCCAGACCCGATCTGCGCACATGGGCGATGCCTGGGCCTTGACTCTGACCTCGGGGAGAACAGTGTGTCCACATTGTCGCTCTCCCTTGCTCCAGGCGAAGGCTGGCGCACGAGGCTCTGTTCAAGCCCATGTCATCGCCGAGCCTGACAGCTTTGTGACCTGGCACCTGTCCCGAGCTTGTCCTCGTGCTTGCCGAAGGGATACTGGTGTGGCTTCGTCACCTTCTTCCAGCCGCAGATTGGCAAACGGGGTCGTAAGCACAAGCAGGTGGATTGCCCCAACGCCAAATACTTTTTTCTGTCAGCTCCCAACGGGATAGCTCGCAGTTGGCTCCGCAGATGGCGCTACCGCCTCTACTTGCAGAGAGCGAGTTTTCAAGCAGAGGCCACCTTGCTGCGACTGCTGCAAGCTCATGTTCGGCTTCGTCTTCGGGAGCAGCTTCGCCAACTTTGGGCCCGTGAAATCTTGTGTCGCCGTGCCGTTGAGGCCGGGGCGAACGAGGACTTCCACAAGCAGGCTTTGAATGGTCCTTTGGAGGCGCTCATAGCTGGAGCTTGGAAATGGTATGAGCCTCTTATGTTCTCAAGGCGCGGACAGGGCTTCCTCTCAAGCTACCGCTTTCAGCCCTGCAGATTACAGACAAGTCTGTGTCTGAAACTTTCGTGTCGGAACCCCTTTTGTATAGGGCGGTCGGACATGTGCCACGGGGGCAACTGCTGTTGTTGTTTGCGGGCTCCGCTTGTACATTTTGCAGGAACCTAGGTCTCGACCAGGCCCATTTTTGGCAACTTGCAATGGGGACTTGCTTTGCAGCTGACGCAACTCGCCAGCCTTCTGTTGCACACATGTGCCGTGTTTCTTGTGCGCTTTCTATGTAACGAGTAATGGGCGAACACAGGGGCACTTGCTGTGAAAGCCAGAGCCTGCAACCGCCCGCCTTGCCTGGCAGGCGACTTGCTCAGCTGGATTCTTCTGGAGATCGGGCAGACATCTTGGCCATCGATGGCAACGCCAAGTTGCACAGGCGAACCTGCGGCATGCCGTTGGCCGAAGTTGTGCCAAGCCCACATCTGCGTAAGCTGCTGCTGCGTGGGTGCAGCTCCCGCCCACATGGCAAGGACACTCTCTGCAAGCAACGTGCAGCTGCGCGGGACAAGCAACTTCCCCCGCTTGACCCATCCTCGCAAGTTTCTCATCATCGCCTTCGGAAAGCTCTGCACCAGGATAGCGACGTCTGTCACTTTGAAGTGCAAATCTCTGGATTTCGTGGCTGGCAGCCCGCTTGCACCATCAAGGAGGATGTCTTAGCTCAACACTTTGCCCGCCAAGCTGATGCCAACATACGCAGGCGCCGTGAGAGAAGGGTGCAGGCCCGCAAGCAGAAGTGGACCGGCATGCGGCCGCGCCCTCGGCGCTCATTTCTGGCTTCTTGGCATTCTGCTGGGCCAAAGCAACAGCTCCTCGGCAACAGTTTCTTTTTGGCAAAGAATGGCTGTGTCTTTTTTTTTTTTTTGTTTTCTTCGTTTTTTTGTTTTTTTTTTTTTTTTTTTTGTTTTTTTTGTTTTTTTTTTTTTTTTTTTTTTTTTTGTTTTTTTTTGTTTTTTATTTGTTTGTTTTTGTTTCATTTTTTTTTTTTGTTTTTTCTTTTATTTTTTTTTGATTATTTTTTTTTTTTGTTTTTTTTTTTGTTTTGCGCCCAGCCTAAGAGCTAACGCCTCAAAGCATTTTTGCAGCCCCTTAGCCGCTCGCGCGAAACGCGGCGCTGGAGGCCACGCAGCTGCTCGGCGTGCTGGCTAACCTTCTTGACTGTTTCGGAGTCTGGCCCTAATATTTGACAATGCTCGAGAATCATTGTGCAGACGAGTTTTGTCGCAGAGGTACCATTTGCAGCGCAGGTGGCTTCCACCGACTTCCCACGCTTGCAGACCCATGGTTCACGAAGACGGGGGGGGCCTGTTCTCCTCAAGAGCATGTGCCTCAAGGAGCGGCGGACGTCGGTCATGGCGGGCAAGCTGGCTGACCTGAATTTCATCATCGACGACTTCCACAGCGGGGGCCACTGTGGGGAGTGGTGCAAGACAACTTGCCTGCCCAGCTTGCAGCAGAACAAGGATATCCTGAAAGGCTTCCCAACTGAGATTGCTGAGTCCGTAAACGCCCAATTCAGTCCTTTAGGCCACTGCTTTCACCACTACAGTCCATGGTTTCCTCAGCTTGTCATGCAAGGGTGCGCTGATGTGCACAACATGACTCGGCTACAGGCGCTAGGCGACAAGCGCCGTGTGGCCGACAAGAAGCGCAAGAGGCAAGCGCTGGCACTTGCAAGACGCAAGCTGCTTCCCATGTCAAAAAGGCTGCTGTGGCCAGCTCGTTGGTCGCGCGTGTGCTTCAGTGAAGTTGAGTGTCTAGGTTCTTGGCCTCTGTCCGACAGCACAAAGCGGCGAGAATTGGCCAGCTTGTTGGCCCTTGTCCTTGGCGCGTCTCTCTTGCTTTGCTATTGCTTGCAGAGTGCGCTGCAAACCCTGTTCTCCTCAAGCGGTTGCCCGGCTTGAGGCCGGGCATTTGTGCGAACATGCCAACACACAGCAGCAAGCAGCTTTCCCACAGCGCGGTCCAGTTGTATAGGACGCCACGCAAGTCTGCAAATTAGGCACCAGTGCCTGCCATGCCGCCTCACAGCAACGATGCGCTTGCAGGAGATGAAACATCGACCTGCCTCTTCCGGCGGCTTGCTGGGCGACTCAGCGAATAAACCTTTCACGCTGCGGACCACCTGCCCAAAGCTTTGTATGACTTCCTCCTGCCGATTGCCACTTCTACGTGCCAAGGGCTGTACGCCACCGCAATGCTCTTTCTCGGGTCCATGCCTGCCTTGAGCAACGGGGCCAGCGTCAAGTTGTGGCAGAAACCATCCCCTTTGGCTTTGATGGTTCTTCACATGGCTCCCGCGCAAAGGGGGAAGTCCCGTCTCTTCCAGGCTGTCGAACTGATGTTTGAGACTGCGGACGACTTCGTTGAGGTCATGGCCAAGGAAGAAGCAGCCAAGGTCGCTCAGCGAGTGAGAGCAGAAGGCGTGGGCGAGCAACCTTTGCCAGATGTGTCTGTGCAAACCAAGAGCATGTGTCTTCACAGCTTCACCATGACAGAGCTCTTCTACAGGTGCAGCGCCGACTTTCCCCAGGTCGAGATTCACGGTGGATGCAACAAGAAGGAGAAGGCGGCTCTACGTCTTTGGTTTGGCCAGGCTTTCAACTTGGACGAGGCCTATGAGTTCTTGGAGAGCTTGTCATTGTTGGGTTCCAGAGGTGACAAGGCCAAGGACTCATCCGTGAACGCCCATGCCAGCACCCTCAACACGCTGCTTGCTCGGGGCAAAACCAAGAGAGCCACGAGAACGTCTACTTCATACGAGGCCTCCAGGACACAGCACGTAAGCCTCTCCTTCCTTGGAAACGGGCACCCTGGCAAGCTCATACCGATGGAGCGGAACTTGGAAGGCCAACACACAGCAGCCACGAAAGAGCGCTTCCTTCTCTGTGTGGATGTGAGCGTCCCCAGGCACGAGAGCTTGTCCCCTGACATGCTCGCCGCAGATGACTCCTTGCCGGCGTGGACGTGGCTGCCGCTCACGCCGCTCCAAGCTGCTATCTTCGGCTGGACCGGCATTCTCAACAACCCAGGACATTTCGAGGGCCAGGAGCCAGAGAATGATGAAGAAGGCGATGAAGGCTTCCCTGCAGTTTTGCCCGATGGTGTTCGCTCTCGCATCCGGTACGTGTACGACTCTGCTCCCGCTCCTGCAGGCCCTTCAGTTGCAGCCAAGCAGCCCGAAATAGTTCACACTTCATCTTGACAGGCAGTTGGGTCGCAAGCCAAAACCCATTCAAAGTCAGTTTTGTCACGTTCACGTTCTTCTTCAGTAGCCTGGTGGGGCCAGCGTGTTGGCCAGGGCCTTCCCTACTTCTTTTGCTTTGAAGCACTCGAGCAGGTTCCCCTCCGATAAATGATGCGCTAGTCTTGTGTCGTTGTGACGGTTTCCACACACTCTCAGCCACATGTTCAACTCCCGCCCCACTGTGACCTCTCAGGTCTGCGCAAGGCTGTTCGCACAGAGTGGCGAATCAGTGGACGATGGCAAGTTCGTGACCAGACAGAACACGTACAAGCCGGCGCCCGACGGGTCTGCGAGTATTTTGCCACGCGGCCGCACAAGACGCTGGAGCTGACAGATGGTGCGCAGAAGCTGTTGCTCGGTGCCTTGTCAAATTTGCATTGGGGAGGTTAAAAGTCGGACCGCAACAGCAAGTTGCTCTGTTGTCGTGTCATGCAAGTGCTGTGACATGCCACCCTGCGGTTGTGTTATTTCGCAGCCCTGCAGGCAACCAAGTGGCGCAAGCCATCCGGGCTACCAACAAGGATGGCCAAGCTTCCATGGAGGCCTTGCACGCCAACGCGGCTCACCAGCAAGGTATGATGAGCGCAGCGGTGGCAATTCTGGAATTGGCTGCTGGAGGAGGTTCTTTTGACGAGAGTGGCCAGTTGCAAGTTACTGAGGACCACGTGCAGGCCAGGCCAACTGCATCATTTTGCTCCTCCACGCGTCACTCTTTTGCCCAAACCGTTATGTTCCTTTCTGCTCCACCACGCACTCACACTTGTTGCGGGCCCTGCGCAAGGCCAGCTTGTTGGGCACTCAAGCAACATTTGTCAACTTGGTCACCACTTTACCACAAGCCTGTCCTTTTGCGCAGGTGGCGTCCAGGCTGGTCGAGCTTAGCTTGCAGATCCGGGAGGTGCTGCGCGGTCCAGTGGACGCAGCGACGGCAGAGAGTTCCGAGTCCGACGGTGAGCTGTTCAAGCCTGTTGAAGTCCCAGCTCCGCAGCGGCGCTTCGCGCCACCAGCAGCCACTCAGTTGCCAACAGTCGCGCAGCCCCGTGCAGAAGAGCCGCTCCAACATGACGAGCACGTCCCTGTTCCTCTTCCAGAGTCCTGGTCCCTACAGGTTGCAGACCAGCCTGAAGAGGCCGAGGCTCCACAGCCTTTACGCCCCTCAGATCTGCAGCCTGCTGAAGCCTTCTTCGCCACAGGTTTCGGGGAGAACGGCGCCATGATTTTGCCAGGTAAGATGCAAGATCGAGCCTTCATGAGCAAGTTGCTTCTGGCGGGGCGCAGTGAGGTCACGCTCTCAAAGGCCGTGGACGTCTACCATCTCCTGGAAATGCAGGGCAGCAAGCGCCGGAAAATACGCCTCAAGCAAAGCTTCTACAGGTCTGCCAGAAAGCTTTCTCTCTTTTTCCTCGGCTTGGCCAAGTCAATGTGACCAAGCGTGGGCTCCGAGACGACTGTGCTCCTTCGTGGGTGGTCTGCCAGCACGACCAACCAGCTGCTGTTCCACAATGAAGCAATGAGGTGCTGTCGAGTGTCCATTCGGGAAATTGCAAAGAGGCGGGCGCTGTGGCATGACCGCAGCGCAGGCAGAGGCGAACACGGCGACGAAGCTCCAGAGGAGGAGGCTGCAGCAGACGATGCCGCAGCGGAAGCTCCCCAGCCTGCCACGCCACCCACTGGCCGACGCTGACGCTTGAAGCTCGAACACCGCAAGAAATAACTGCGGCCGTCTGCGCCTGCTTTGCTTGCCTGCTCACGAAATTCCGTCCAGCCAATGACCTGTTGCGGTTAACACTTGTGTTACGAATATAACAAATTCGAGCTATGACCCTCTGGTTTGTACTTGGTTTGTTTTGGATAACCAAGCCAACCTTGCCTTTGACAGACCTGCAGCTGTCATGACCACCGACAGCAGGTTGCATGAAAGATGCATGCGTCGCGATGGCCACTTGGGCAAGAAGGAGCAAAACACAGCGTCTTGGCCAGCTTGTTGGCGTGTCGTGTCAGTCTTCTGCCTTCTTGGCCAGCTTGTTGGCCGCCAGACACATAGCACGAGCAACATTCTCGTGCCGCAATTTTCCCGGCAGCCAGCCACCGGCAACCACCCGCCGGCCACCGGCCACCGGCCACCGGCCCCCGGCCACCGGCCACCGGTCACCAGCCACCGGCCACCACCGGCCACCGGCCACCGG